TAAATAAATATTTTAAAAGTTTTCTCTCAATATATAAACAATCTGTTTTTTTTTTGCATTACATAGACACCGATCATTAAATAGCCAATACTCACCGAGATTTAATGAGAAGTTGGAATAGTATTTGTCGAAAACAATACGGTCGGTAAGTGTTTCTCGCATTCAGCTTTTCTTTCTTTGCCATTAAGATATATCTTTTTTTTTGTCATTCTACTGTCCGTCCGATCAATCAAGAAGAGTCATTATGCTGAATGATTGATGACAGTTATCGTGACATTCTCTTTGAATTCATAATTAGTGTCCACTATGGGAGATTTCACTGTATACATCTAAACATTATTTATACGGATGAATGAGCACAAAAATCCATATGAAAATATTGCGTTTTACCTGTAGTATTATTTATATCTTCACCATACTTTCGTTTTTTATGTATTTTTTTTCAGTGTGTCTAATTTATTACGTCCGTGGACGCTTATAATGTGATAACAACAGGAAGAAGGATATAACAACACAAAACAAAAAAAGAAAAAAAAAGAAAAAAAAGAGAAAAAAGGGGAGATAACCAGAATACAGTATACGTAAAATGGAATGAAAAAAAGAAAAAGAAAGGAAGGGGTGAAATGGCTATAGAATGGAAAAGATGGAAGAAATGAGGATCATATACCAGATTTATCAGAATGATTTTCGATGAATTGAATCCAGCGGATTAGAAGTGACTCATGCCTATTCGTCATTTTTTTCACTCTTGTCAAACTAAAGAAATGTCCTATACCTAATTTCTGTTTTGACTTATCACTGTGCTGTTTCATTAATTTATTCGTGAAAGGATCCCAATTAAATAAATCGTTATAGAAAAGAGATTCGCCTAGGTCAGATCTGAATACTCGATTCAATCGTTTTTGTAAATAAGCTGAAACATATGATTCAAGTGAGCGTTCATTTAATATTGATGGGAGTTCGTGTGCTGCAATAAAGGGGCATCTATGTACTATTCTTAGACCTACTGTAAACTTACGTGTTAAGGCCGTTTGGTGAGAATTAGGTAGTAGGGGGAAAAACGGGAAAATCCATGCAAAGAAGGGAAAGCTGTATGCAAAGAAACATAGTCTCAATACATTAGTTGTTATTCTTTTATTTCTTTTTAACCATTTCAGCGTAATATATGAGCTTTTAATCTTTTCTATGCATCGGTCAACTGTTGGAGTGAGTGATAGCTTGTCCGTCCATTCAAATCCTAGATATTTAAATGTTTTCACATTCAAGTTGTTTCCCATCCATATATATTTGAACCTTAGGTTGTACAACTTGCAAGTGAAACAATTGTACAACCGTCTTTTTCACATTTATCGGCTGTTTCCACTGCTGGGCGTAGTCAAAGGGATTTTGGCATATTTCTGTCCCTTTTCTATTAATATATTCTAACATTTGTGGTAGACTTTTCTCTATTGGTGGTACTACAAGTGCGCAAAGATCGTCTGCAAAAATATGCGTAGAGCACGCACCCGTGCAGCGTATAATATCTGAGTGATAGATAATGAAAATGTACGGGCTTAATGAGCTTCCTTGCGGCAGTCCAACATTGATGTTAAATTTTTCTGATTTATATCTTCCGAATTCTACATATGCTTTTCGAAAACTTAGCCAATTTATTATTAGCTTTAACAATTCCAAGGGCATTTCCATACGATACAGCTTCGCAATAAGCCCTTCATGCCATACAAGGTCATATGCTTTCTTATAGTCTACGTAGATACTGAGAGTAGGAACGTTGGCTGCAAGATAATTCTTTACTTCCTGATAGATTGATAATACTCTTGTTTGTAGTAAGCACCCTTTTCTGAATCCTGACTGCTCCTCTGGAATTATATGGTTAGTTTCTGCCCAACATTTAACACGCTTTAGCAAAATCTTTTCGTACAGTTTTGAATGAGTTGCTAAAAGCGAAATAGGTCTTGTTTGATCACAATGAGGTATACTAGACTTAACTTTATTTAAAGTTATTATTTTAGCTATTTTCCAATCATCTATAAGAATTCCTTTTTGAAGCCATTCATTAAAACATTTACTTAAGCATCTCAGGTAGCCTGGTGGTAGACGTTTGATCATAAAGTTGGAGATGGCATCCCAACCTGCTGACTTTTTTGGTTTTAGAGTATTAATCATGTTTTTGAGTTCGTAGGAACATGTTAATTCAACACTTTTATTACATAATTTCAATTCGTCTAAAATATAGTTATAATCTTTTCCGACTTGAGCATCAAAGGGATCAGACTGGTTTAGTATAGGAGTTGTGAATAGATTAGAGTAATATTCATGCAGTTCTTTTGTTATTTCATATTGTGAAGTGACCACTTTATCTTTTACCCTGAGTTTGCAAAAAGGCAATCTATTCGGTCGATAAATGTTGGATAGGTGTTTCCAAAAAGTTGATTCTGATTTACCATGATTTTGTTGAATATTCGATAAAAAATCATTCCATCTGTTCGACCGATAGATATACAGTGGATACCAAAATTGATCAACCACCTGATTGAATTTTTTGGTTTTATTCATATCTCAAAAGTTGAATAAGCTAGAATGGTCTGGTTTTCACCGTAATGTAGCCCATAGTATCTCGTATTCATACACCACATCACAGGTCAAAATTTCAGTCTGTTGAGTTTCTATTTAAAAAATGATGAAAGACGATCATTTTTCACCGTTCCAAAATTGATCAACCACTTATTTTTATGATTGTCTTCGTGCGTATTTCAAATCATCATTTTCTTTATAACATACCATTTGAAAGAGCAACCTTTTCTCTACAAGATGAATTGCTTTTTATTGTACTTCCTTTATGGAAAAGAGTCACGCTTAGATGGTTTCAGAGCATACTAGAACCATACTCAAAATATTTGATAAAGTACGATATTTTAATTTAGTATCCAACTAATTTGATTTCTTAAGGTACCATCTGAAAGGGCGTCATAAACTGCATCGGAAATGCTGTTTCATTAGCTATTCTATTGTAGAATTGGGAGCTCAAAGATTCTCATGCACAGAGCAACCAAGCCAATCATGGATAAGGTTTCTTGTATTCTTCCATTAGCATCTCGAAGACGGTACCTGAACTTTTGCGATCAGTGCAGATTTATAGCGAATTCTTTGCTCTACAAACCTGTTATCTTTGAAATCGAAAATACTTATTTTCTTCTGAGCATTGTACACTTGTGTAACGGTACAGGACAAAAATTAGAGCTGGCTACTAACATCAACAACCAACTGAATAAAAACTTTCCCAACAAAGGAACCTATTATTAAAAATTATATGCCGCTTTGCTCTGTATTTCATAGTCTTTCAAATGAGATATCGTGTGAACAATTTTGATCGCCTCTTCAATGAAATCTGAATCAAGATTATTGTTGATGTTAGTAGCCAACTCTAATTTTTGACCTGTACCGTTACACAATTGTACACTGCTCATGAGAATGAAATTATTTTCGATTCCAAAGATAACAGGTTTGTAGAGCAAAAAATTCGCTACAAATCTGCACTGATTGCAAAAGTCCAAATACCCTCTTCGAGACGCAAATGGGAAAATACAAGGAACCTTATCCATGATTGGCATGGTTACTGTGTACATGAGAATCTTCGAGCTCCCAATTCTAATATAGAATAGCTAGTGAAACAGTATTTTCGATGCAGTTTATGATGCTCTTTCTGGTGATACCTTGAAAACTCAAATTAGTTGGAAACTAAATTAAAATATCGCAATTTATCAAATATTTCCGGTATCGTCCTAGTATGCTCTGAAAACACCCGAGTGTGACACTTTTCCATAAAGGAGGTATAATAAAAAGTAGTTCATCGTGTAGAGAAAGCTTCCTTCTTTCAAATGGTCTGTTAAAAAGAAAATTATAACTTAAAATGCATATGGAGAGAATCATAACAATAAGTGGTTGATCAATTTTGGAACGGTGAAAAATGACAGGCTTTTATCATTTCTTAAATAAAAACTGAACAGACTAAAATTTTGACCTGCGATTTGGTCTATGAATGCGAGATACTATGGGCTAAGTTAAGATGAAAACCAGACCATTCTAGCTTATTTATCTTTTGAGATATGAATAAAACAAAAAAATTCAATCAAATGGTTGATCAATTTTGGTACCCACTGTATATGAGTTAGTGTCGAATAGATTTTAAAATTCTATTCCACTCTATTTTAAATCTTCATGAGGATTTTTCTTTCTTGTTACGCATATTCAATTTTACTATGTGTATTCGAAGCTTATCTTCTCGTACGCATTACAGAATTACATTTGAAGTCTGTTCGATTTTAGTAGAATTTCATGAACTGCAAAGCTATTATCCGGTTTTCGACTTGAATCGAATATAATTGCTGTTACATTCTCAAGTTCTGATGCTGTTGGTAATCATCATTTGTACGTATATCATTTTCTATTATTATTAATTTCAAATAACGAACTGACTTGATTTAGGTTTAGAAGTTATCA